TTCATAAAATTGAAACAGGCTACAAGGAACATATATTAGAAATAAAATGCAAATGTTAAAATAAAAGAAACCTAATCAGATGACTCAGTAAAAGAAATGGACCCAACACTAGACTAAATTAATGAACTGAGGAGCTCACCAAGAATGTAGTAGAAAGGAAAATGAAAAAGAAATGAGAGTTCAGTTAAGAAATATGGAGGACAGATCCAGAGCTGTACTCATTCATCTACTAGAGAAGTCCAGAATGCAAGCAAATAGAATTAAAGGTGAGGAAACAAAGAAATAGAAGACAATGTTGCAAAACTCAAGACTCCAGTCTTCAGACTTTATAAAAGGTCTTCCCCAAGTATCAAATTCTTTCTCAGGTCTTTTCTGAGAGAATGACTCTAGGATATAGTTCTGTATAACAACAACATCCAACAAAGGACAAGACATGGGACACATTCAATGGTGCAAGAGAAAAACCAGTAGAACTTAAAAAAACTGTTCCTATATTATGTAAAATAATTACAGTCTAGAATTTAAATTCCAGATAACCTCTACCCAGGTGGTGGTCACTGGCTGGTGGTGGGGGAATAATTACAGGGCTCTCTCAGAGCCCTAAAGCCGCCTGCTCTTGCAGGAACGGGAATCACGAAGCTGTCAGCTGAAGCCATGCTCACATCCTCTCAGTACTTAATGATCTTCTTTTCCATCTGACCTTCTATGCTTTAGCTTGCATATTGATGGATGTAATACTGCCCCAGCCCCTGAATCCACAGAACTTTCAGCTAACTCAGGGGTTTTTAATGCCAGCTGAACATAAGAATCACTGGAGAGCCTTTAAAATACCATGATGATAAGGTCCCATACCAGACCAATTAAATCAGCATCTCTGGGGGCAGGGCCCAGGCTGCTGCTGCTTTTTTAAGCTTCTCAGGTGAATTCTAAAGTATAGTTAGTGCTGAGAGTCATACAAGAACTGTTTCAGGCTCTCAGAACCCAATTTAAAACTTGTAGGAGAGGCCTCTAATTAGCCCTGTTCATCTTCGCATGTCAAATTACAGGTTCATTTGTATATGGGCTACCCTTAAGCGCTAGACTGTTAAATAACTGCATTAAAGCGTGATTATGTGGTATAATAAAAACATGGGTAGGGTGGAGTCCAAGAAGAGGTGGACTATGGGGTGAATGTGCCAGAAGAAGACTTCATAGAGCAGACAGGCTGGGTTCTGAAAGAGTAAGAATATGACACGTCAGTGGGATCAGGTAAGTACCCCTGAGGCAAATGCAGAGGAGAACTATTTAAGTGGGTCACCCTCCCAAGTCCCGATGCTCACATGGCCAAAAAGGAAGGGGATGACAACTATCTTGGAGGGACTTATAATTTGGTGCAAGTCACAGTGCAAAGATTCAAGAAATACTGAATTTGCAAGAATATAGGAGGATTCACTGGTTCCACTCTGGAGGAACTGTGGAAGATGGTTGGTGTCAGTGAGTGAGCATAATAAAAAAATGTTGGGAGGGGTCAGAAAAGATTTTGAGATTTTAATTTTTCTGTGGTTAACATCAGAGAGGGCAATTTCCTTTTGAAACCTATATTTCTGTGGAAAGACAATACCTCCTTGTGAATGGGAGAAAGTGTAATCACATTTCCAGCATTCCATATTGCTGGCATTGCATCATTTAGGACAGAGCTCCAATGAGCTAAGATGGGCATACTCTGAAAAATAAAACAGAGAGTGAATTCCTGGCCTAGTGGATGGTGTGGCTTTGGAGTTGAGGTAATTAATACCCTTCTTTCATTCACTGACAAGTTTCTGAAGCCTATCCATATGGAAATATAGTAAAGCTATAATTCAAACAGATTCAAGAGAGATAAAGGAACACCTAAAAATAAAAAAAAATAACAATAGATTAAATGCTCATGAAGAAAATATAGGAAAAAACTGACACATCTGCTTGGTGAAAAATACCATAAATGGGGTTAAAAGATGGTCCTAAACTTCAGTAAGAAAAAGGTGAACATCCCAGTAGAAACATAAGCAAAGGATACAAACAGATAATTCAAAACAAGAACTATAAGGTATAAGAGATTAGTAAACATCACTTATAAATAAATACAAATTAAAACAAGGTACCAATGACACCTGCCTGATTGGCGAAATTAAAAATAATGAAAAATAGTTAATGGTAGTAAGAGAAAGAGGCAGAAATAGTAAGAGAAATTACATTCCTGTTGTAGAAGTGTAAATTCATGCAACTGTTCTGAGGGGCTATTTGGTAGTGTTTTTGCATTTTGATATAGCAATTTTAGGATAAAAATTATCTCAGAGGTATCACAGAAAAATGCAAAGACACTGGCAATAAAAATTAAGGACGATCTGGGCTTCCCTTGGTGGCACAGTGGTTAAGAATCCGCCTGCCAATGCAGGAGACATGGGTTCGAGCCCTGGTCCGGGAAGATCCCACATGCCTTAAATCTGTGGTTTTTTTCGATATTGAGCTGCATGAGCTGTTTGTATATTTTGGAGATTAATTCTTTGTCAGTTGCTTCGCTTGCAAATATTTTCTCCCATTCTGAGGGTTGTCTTGTTTATGGTTTCCTTTGCTGTGCAAACCTTTTAAGTTTCATTAGGTCCCATTTGTTTATTTGTTTTTACTTCCATTTCTCTAGGAGATGGGTCAAAAAGGACACTGGGTACTGGTAATACCCTAGGGGGAAAAAAACTCTTGGCCTGGGTAGTGGTTACATGAGTATGTTCAATTTGTGATAATTCACTGAGCTAGACATTAATGATTTCTAAGTGTTTCTGTAATTTTATATTATACTTCAATATATTTTTTTTAAAGAGAGAAGACAGATCCCATACAAGGAGTGGTTATTATAATGGCACTAACCTTCTCAATATTAATACTAGAAACAAGAAGAAACAGCAAAATGCCTTCTCAATACTTTTTTTTTTGGCCATGGTGTGCAGCGTGCGGAACTTCCTCGAACAGGGCTTGAACCCATGCCCCCTGAACTGGAAGCGTGGAATCTTAACCACTGGCCCATCAGGGAAGTCTGCGCCTTCCAAATTTTAATGGAAGATGTTTCTAACCTAGAATTCTGTATTCGAATTTTCAATCAAATGTGAGGGTAAAATTAAAACATTTCCAGACAGGGAAGGTCATAGAAAAGTTACCTCCACACGTACCTTTTCTCAGAAACTTCCTGCAGAATGTGCCCCAATATAAGGAGGGAATAAACAGGGAGACAAAGACATGGGATCAAGGAGACAGAGACTTTAATATAAGAGGAAGACAAAAGAATTTCCCAAGATGACAGCCTGTTGTGTCGCAGGCCTCAAAAACAACTAGTGCACTTGGGAGCAGCAGGCTAGAGTTCTAGGGCAGAAATCTCCAAGAGAAACTAAAACCAGGAGAGTACTTGCTTGTGTTTGACCATACTGAGAGACTGTTCAGTTCTGTCAGAGTACAGGGGTATATCGGGGGTAGCTACATAGAAAACCAAACAATAAAAACCCCCAAATATGGCAAATATTACATTTAGGATAAGCAAAGAGTGATTCCACCATCCAAAAAATGGGGAAGTATAATTATAGTTCAACTCAGCTGCAAACAGGAGTTTTTATGATTATAACAACATAAATAGGGACTCCTGATTTAGCCAAATATTGTGATGTAACTATATTACATGAGTGGGAGGAAGGGGAAGTTGTATGTGTTTATAGTGTGTGGGGGGGTCCTGGCGGAGGTAACATAAGATAATAAATCCTTCTACAGTAGGACATCAAAGGTTAACTGAATTGAAAAACCAAGAAAGAGTGTAAGCCACTGACATGGATGCCTCTAAAGGTTGAACATACTCAAAATCCATTAGGAAGAGCAAAACGTTAGGAAATTATGTTAATTAGGGTAAAACCTAGTGGGATTTGTCAGAAGATTGGGCAAAGAGTGGGTAAATTGAATAAGTTTACCCTATCTGTTCCAGCCATGAAAGAAAGTTATATTGTACCCAACTGCATAATTCCTTGTCTAATGTTGAAAATACTTTATGGTAATAATGACTGTGATATTAAGTGGTGAAATAGAAAGGAATGCAATGCTTTAGGTTAAAAAAAATCAGCATTGGATTTTGAAATATATTGAATATCCATTTTTGCATTTATCTAAATTAAATAATTTTTCTCCTTTGGGAAAAAAAAAGTATAAGCATGGAGAAGTAAAAAACAATTAAAATAATTTAAATGTGGACAATGAAGATGGGAAGGTGTGGGGCAGGATGCTGTCACTTTCTCTTTGCACTGTAGCACTTTTTCAATTATGTGTAATAGTACTTTCTTAAAAATAAAATTAAACTGAAAAAAGCCCTATAAAAACAAAAGAACCTCAGGGCCTAACAAATCACTTTTAGCTTTAAAACTCTAGATAATGACCTGAAACATCTCGTGAACAAGAAGAAGCATATATGTAGCACACACCAGTAATCATTATTACTTTTTTTTTGCGGTACACGGGCCTCTCACTGTTGTGGCCTCTCCCGTTGCGGAGCACAGGCTCCAGACGCGCAGGCTCAGCAGCCATGGCTCACGGGCCTAGCCGCTCCGCGGCATGTGGGATCTTCCCGGACCGGGGCATGAACCCGTGTCCCCTGCATCGGCAGGCAGACTCTCAACCACTGTGCCACCAGGAAAGCCCCAGTAATCATTATTAATTACATGTCATTTCAACCCCAAATCCTCCCCATATGAAGAGCTAAACTACCTACATTTAGTATAGGGTACATGAAAAGCTGCCTCAAAAAGCCAGAACGTACAAACCAAATGTCTTCATTTTATCAGATTAGATTGAATTCACAGTATTGTAACTGACATGTAACTTTTCAGGAATACATATAGTTAGTTTGATCAGTTGTGCAAACATAGGATTATTCATTTATCTTTTATGGGTTGATAATTAATGAAATTAAGTGCCTGAATCAAAAGAACAGATACAGTTTGTATAAGTGAAATTACCTGAAGAAGGTCACGAAGAACTGTACCAGGTCCATAAAATTGCTGTGCTGGGAGAAGGCAATCTGTGACAGAAAAACACGTAGAGTGATTGGGTTATAAGATAGCACCATTAACTCAGCCTTCTCGTTGAAGCAGAAAGACGTTAACATTTCAAGAAGAGATTAATGAAATTTTTCACTTGAGGAAAAGCACCTTATCCCTTTAGTCTTTCTTGCTTAATTGCCACACAAAAGTGATATTCTGAGACTCAGCACAAACCCCTACAGTCCCCCTGCTCTTGACAGCGGATCTCAGTTTTTAATCTGACCTTGAAGACTTCTCAGACTCCTGCTAATGACCCCAATGACAAGCAAGTCAGGTTACTTCCTACCGCCTTGTGCCCTTTTCAAGACAAAATGCTCTCCTTGTTTGCTTCAAATTCCAATTCTTGGATCTACCGTCAGGTGGGCAGCTTCCTTTTATGCCCTTCATCCCTTTGTCACTTAATGTACTCACTTCAAGATAACATCCTTTTTAAAAAAAAAACCTTATCCCAAGCTTCACTACACTGAATATCATCTGACAATATAACACCAATTTGAACTTAAATAATTTTATACCAAGAATATTATAAAATCCCTAATGTAGTTCATCAAATCTAAGACACCACTAAAACAGGCATTATTTTGTGTACTATTAAGAAAACACTGCCAGTTACACTATGACACACTGCTTTTAAAATCATTGTAAGATGTATCATGATTTCAGAGATATTAGAGCATGAAAAAATGTACACCTCAGAATTTATTAGTAAGTATGATAATTGTGTCCTTACTACCCTATGACACACATGGTACTAGCCAGATGTTATGGTGTGTTCTCTGCTTATTTTTAAGGAACCACAGCCCTCCTTGGAGAGATAATGGTACTATAAATGAAACAATTATTGAATAAGATGGTAATTATTGAAATGAAGGCAGTAAGTATGACAAGAGTCACATAAGTAAATGATTAGCGTCTTCTTTTCCTAATCCCACCCTACCTGCCCCCCCCAACCTACTCCTGTCAACTCCCATCCTACAGCAATGCAAGGAAAGTGCTACAGCCTAGGCCCCAGCACAGTAACAATCCAGTGCTTTGCACTTCTTTTATAGTCAGACTCACAGAGGCAGAAGAGAGGAGAAGCTTCCACTGCTTTTCTTTTGAATGCTCTTATTTTCTTTTTGACATTTAAATAAAGGTCCAATATTACCTTTTCAGGCCATAGAATATTATGGGGCATAGAATCTGAAATTTTTGTATCCTCCCTCTAGCCACCATTTATAATCAGAAATACAAAGATACATAGATTTGATATCATAGACAAGGAGAAACCATATTCTTTGCTTTCCTTCATTTATGATAGTAATCATCCTAAATAAGAAGGCTCCTTGAGAGAAGGAAAACTGCAGAATATGGCTACAGTCCTCTCATAAAGGTTTTTAATAAAACTGGGGAAAAACAATTATATAAACGAGGTTACTCAGTCTTGAGGAAAGAAGAATCCAGGTTACAAGACATAAAGAAGGAGAAGGAAACAGATCTTAGTGCATCCAATTCTGTTTAGATTTTAAACTTTTAAAACATTACTATGGGAGGAATCGGGAAGATGGCAGAAGAGTAAGACGCGGAGATCACCTTCCTCTCCACAGATACACCAGGAATACATCTACACGTGGAACAACTCCTACAGAACACCTACTGAACGCTGGCAGAAGACCTCAGACCTCCCAAAAGGCAAGAAACTCCCCACGTACCTGGGTAGGGCAAAAGAAAAAAGAATAAACAGAGACAAAAGAATAGGGACGGGACCTGCACCAGTGGGAGGGAGCTGTGAAGGAGTAAAGGTTTCCACACACTAGGAAGCCCCTTTGCGGGCGGAGACTGCGGGTGGCGGAGGGGGAAGCTTCGGAGCCGAGGAGAAGAGCACAGCAACAGGGTTGCGCAAGGCAAAGCGGAGAGATTCCCAAACAGAGGATCGGTGCCGACCGGCACTCACTAGCCCGAGAGGCTTGTCTGCTCACCGGCTGGGGCGGGCGGGGACTGGGAGCTGAGGCTCGGGCTTCGGTCGGAGCGCAGGGAGAGGACTGGGGTTGGCGGCGGGAACACAGCCTGCAGGGGGTTAGTGCACCACTGGCTAGCCGGGAGGGAGTCGGGAAAAAGTCTGAACCTGCCGAAGAGGCAAGAGACTTTTTCTTCCCTCTTTGTTTCCTAGTGCGTGAGGAGAGGGGGATTAAGAGCGCTGCTTAAAGGAGCTCCAGAGACGGGTGCGAGCCGCAGCTAACAGCGCGGACCCCAGAGACGGGTATGAGACGCTAAGGCCGCGGCTGCCGCCACCAAGAAGCCTGTGTGCGAGCACAGGTCACTATCCACACCTCCCTTCTGGGGAGCCTGTGCAGCCCGCCACTGCTAGGGTCCCGGGATTCAGGGACAACTTCCCCGGGAGAACGCACGGCGCGCCCCAGGATGGTGCAACGTCCGGCCGGCCTCTGCCGCCACAGGCTCGCCCCGCATCCACACCCCTCCCTCCCCCGGCCTGAGTGAGCCAGAGTCCCCGAATCAGCTGCTCCTTTAAACCCGTCGTGTCTGAGCGAAGAACAGATGCCCTCCGGAGACCTACACGAAGAGGCGGGGCCAAATCCAAAGCTGAGCCCCCGGAGCTGTGCGAACAAAGAAGAGAAAGGGAAATCTCTCCCAGCAGCCTCAGGAGCAGCGGATTAAAACCTCCACAATCAACTTGATGTACCCTGCATCTGTGGAATACATGAATAGACAACGAATCATCCCAAATTGAGGAGGTGGACTTTGAGAGCAAGATTTATTATTTTTTCCCCTTTTCCTCTTTTTTTGTGAGTGTGTATGCTTCTGTGGGAGATTTTGTATAGCTTTGCTTTCACCATTTGTCCTAGGGTTCTATACGTCCGTTTTTTTTTTCTTTTTTAAAAATTTTTTTCTTAATAATTACTTTTTATTTTAATAACTTTTTAATTTTATCTTATTTTACTTTATCCTCTTTCCTCTTTCTTTTCCTTCCTTCCCTCCCTCCCTCCCTTCCTTTCTACTTTTTCTCCCTTTTATTCTGAGCCAAGTGGATAAAAGGCTCTTGGTGCTGCAGTCAGGAGTCAGTGCTGTGCCTCTGAGGTGGGAGAACTGGTCCACAAGAGACCTCCCAGGTCCACGTAATATCAAACGGCGAAAATCTTCCAGAGATCTCCATCTCAACACCAACACCCAGCTTCACTCAAGGAGCAGCAAACTAGAGTGCTGGAACCCTATGCCAAGCAACTAGCAAGACAGGAATAAAAACCCACCCATTAGCAGAGAGGCTGCCTAAAATCATAATAAGTCCACAGACACCCTCAAAACACACCACCAGATGTGGACCTGCACACCAGAAAGACAAGATCCAGCCTCATCCACCAGAACACAGGCACTAGTCCCCTCCACCAGGAAGCCTACACAACCCACTGAACCAACTTTAGCCACTGGGGACAGAAACCAAAAACAACGGGAACTACGAACCTGCAGCCTACAAAAAGGAGACCCCAAACACAGTAAGTGAAGCAAAATGAGAAGACAGGAAAACACACAGCAGATGAAGGAGCAAGAAAAAACCCCACCAGACCTAACAAATGAAGAGGAAATAGGCAGTCTACCTGAAAAGTAATTCAGAATAATGATAGTAAAGATGAACCAAAATCTTGGAAATAGAATGGAGAAAATGCAAGAAACATTTAACAAGGTCCTAGAAGAACTAAAGATGAAACAAGCAACGATGAACAACACAATAAATGAAATTAAAAATACTCTAGAAGGGATCAATAGCAGAATAACTGAGGCAGAAGAACGGATAAGTGACCTGGAAGATAAAATAGTGGAAATAACTACTGCAGAGCAGAATAAAGAAAAAAGAATGAAAAGAACTGAGGACAGTCTCAGAGACCTCTGGGACAACATTAAACGCACCAACATTCGAATTATAGGGGTTCCGGAAGAAGAGAAAAAGAAAGGGACTGAGAAAATATTTGAAGAAATTATAGGTGAAAACTTCCCTAATATGGGAAAGGAAATA